GGGTGGGGGACTGATCCATGGCGACAAGCGGACTTAATCACAAACCATGACACACGAGATGCAAAGAGGGTCGGGATTCCGTCAGATTTGGGCGGCAATGCCGTAGGATTTTAAGAGTCGCAAACCCCGTCGGGGTGTAAGCACCGAAGGATTTGCCTTCGGATATTACGGCGTTATCACCGTGCCCTAACCCGAGACGCCGTTGGAGTTCTTGGCGAGGGTGGTATATAGATCGCTGGCCAGGAATAGCGGGCTGTTCATTATATCTTCACAAGTATTCTCTTGCAAAAACGTACTGGAGGTATTCTAAGTTCTACACCGTCAACAATTGACTCATCATAATGGCCCCAACCAATACCGCCGCCTGGATCAAGTCCGAAAAGGCCTACCCTCTGGAAATCGACAGCGCTCCATACACCCATCCCGGCGAGAACGAACTCGTAATCAAGAACCACAGCATCGGACTCAACCTCGTCGACTATGCGCGTCAAGACCTTGGCTCCGCCCTCTTCGCCTGGACACCCTATCCCGCTATCATGGGCAGCGACGTCGCCGGCGAAGTAGTGGAAGTCGGACCAGGCCCTGTTTCCTCCCGATTCAAGCCCGGAGACCGGGTCCTTGGTCTAACAGGCGAACTGAAAAGCACGCGTTCCTCCAAAGGTGCCTTCCAGAACTACGTTGTGCTCCACGCACACATGACCTCCCCCATCCCATCCGATCTATCTTACGCCGACGCGGCCGGAATCCCCCTCGGAATATCAACCGCCGCATGTGGCCTCTTCCAGAAAGACTACCTCGCGCTGCAGCATCCCACCGCTCCCCCAGCCCCATCAACAGGCCAAACCGTCCTCATCTGGAGCGGATCATCCAGTGTCGGCAGCAACGCTATCCAACTTGCCGTGGCGGCGGGGTATGAAGTGATTACGACGGCTTCGCCGCGGAACTACGACTTTGTCAAGTCTCTTGGTGCGAGCTACGTCTTCGACTATAAGTCTGAGACGGTAGTCGAGGATATCATTGCTGCGTTTAAGGGGAAGTCTAGTGCTGGTGCATTGGCTATTGGGCCGGAGTCGCCCGAAAAGTGTGGTCAGATTGTGGCGAGGATCGAAGGGAAGAAATTTGTTGCGTTGGTGAGTCCACCATCTGGACCGCTGGTAGATGGGGTCGAGTCGAAGTTCGTCTTTGGTGGTGATTTGGCTGAGAATGAGGTTGGGCCTGCTATCTTTGTGCATTTCTTGCCGGCCGCGTTGAAGGAGGGGAGCTTTGTTAGTGCGCCTAAGGTGGAGGTGGTGAGTAAGGGATTGGAGTCGTTGCAGGGAGCGTTGGATGTTTTGAAGAAGGGAGTTTCGGCGAAGAAGTTGGTCGTTTCGCTGTAGGTGGGTGTGTGGTGATTATGGGTTGGCTTTGTGATTTAATGATTGTCTTATTTCTAGCGGATTGTAGACTTTGTCTATGCGTTGTTTTGTACTAATACTATTGATCGTGGCTAAGCGTCGCACCAGTTATCAAAAAGCGAGATCCAGTAGGCCTGTTATAGGTGTGGAATGTTTTGGAGATGACATGAAACCATGATGTTTTATCTGAGGCATAATCAGAATCATATACTTGACTAATATCAATTTGTGTGGATATCGTTATGAGCGGGGTGTCAGAGCGTTGCTAGTTTGATAACCTAAACATCGTATCAATGAAATAATGTAATTGTTCAAATATTTCAAATAAGTAAAGACCCGAGGAATGTGATGTCAAAGGTCACGGTCCTTTGATATTTTCCACCAAATACATACTCGGCCCGATAGCCAGGGAAGGGGTCTAGACTGAATAAAGCTTTCCATGGACCGGTACATTTCGTATTCGCTAAGACGATACTGAAGCGAATACTGAATACAGCCACGCCATCATCTCTTCGCTTTACTCGCTGAAGTGCTCGCTCTGTTGTTATCGACCACTTATTTTATTGGTGGTGTACAGTATACATGACGATGCTTGGAGAGCCCGGGATCGGAGAGACACAGAAATGCCGGGAAGCGGGACCGGGGGCGGATCATCGGTGGAACCTAAATCCGTAGACTCAATCCTGCCTCAGGATGAATGTAAGACATGTGATTGGCCCGTGATGGCGTATGAGTCAAGGCCGGAAAACTCCCCGGGGGACCAGCGATCGCCATCATCTTGCGTTTCCCGCCCTTTTTTTCCTTTTAACTTTCCCTCCTGTTCATTTTTGTGTCTGCTTGCTTCATCTTGCTTCTCTCCCTCTCTCTTAGTTTTTAAACTTCGTCCTGCTACTTGTTCTGCATCCATACGTCCGTTACTCACAAGCGTCCGTCCAGTATGGTCGCCCAAGCTGCCGCCCCCGGGCAATTCCGTCAGTTTCCCCCCCTCTACCCCTCCCCCGCCTTTCCAAAATGAACAGCTACTAAATCCCGTAGAGAGGGCTGATTCCCAACCCGAAAACCCTTACTCGGCCCTCATCACCGATCAATCGTTCGTCATCATCCCTTCTTTCACCCTTGAGTCTGGTGTTACCTTGCACAACGTTCCCGTGGCCTACACGACGAGAGGTCAACTCTCCCCCGAACGTGACAATGCATTGGTGATCTGTCATGCTCTCAGTGGTAGTGCGGATGTCGCGGACTGGTGGGGTCCCCTGCTTGGTGGTCCCGGTCAAGCTTTCGATACATCGCGCTTCTTCGTCGTCTGCTTGAACAGTCTGGGTAGTCCGTACGGAAGTGCTAGCGCTGTGACCTACAAGGATGGCGATCCATCCAAGGGCTTGTACGGTCCTGAGTTCCCTCTCACCACCGTCCGTGATGATGTAAAGTGAGTTTTCTTCTCATGCCTCATGGTGTAACAGCGTGCTAACAACGCATAGGATTCACAAGATGGTACTGGATGACATGGGCATCCGTCAAATTGCAGCCGTGGTGGGTGGCTCCATGGGTGGTATGCTTACTCTTGAGTACGCCTACTTTGGCAAGGACTATGTTCGCGCAATCGTTCCGATCGCCACCTCTCCTCGTCATTCGGCGTGGTGTATCAGCTGGGGTGAAGCCCAACGGCAAAGCATCTACAGTGATCCCAAGTATGAGGATGGCTACTACCCGTTTGACGATCCCCCGGCCACCGGTCTGGGTGCGGCGCGCATGTCCGCCCTCCTCACCTACCGTAGCCGCAACTCTTTCGAGTCTCGCTTTGGCAGAAACGTGCCCGATCCCTCCAAGCGGCAGACTATCAATGGTCAGGAAAGGTCGCCCACTCCCCCGAACGAGCACTGGGCTATCCACAACGATGGACACAAGAGTGGGCGCAGCTCGCCCGGGCCGCAGTCCGACGCCCAACACTCTGAAGTTCAGTTCCAAGACCCTCAGTTCTCCGGTGCCAAAACCTTCAGCAAGACCATCGAGACCAACGGTTCCCAGAAGCGGCTCCCCACCTACTTCTCTGCTCAGTCGTACCTTCGGTACCAGGGCGAGAAGTTCGTGAAGCGTTTCGATGCCAACTGCTACATCGCCATCACCCGCAAGTTGGACACGCACGATGTGTCCCGACACCGGGCCAGTCCTTCCGCGGAGAACCCCGTCCGTGAAGCCCTGTCTCAGATTGAGCAGCCAGCTCTGGTTCTAGGTATCGAATCCGATGGACTGTTCACTTTCGATGAACAGAAGGAGATCGCTGCCGGCATTCCGGACTCCCGCCTGAAGCGGATCGAGAGTCCCGAAGGTCACGATGCCTTTCTCCTCCAGTTCGAACAGGTCAACCGCTACATCCTCGAGTTCTTCCGCGAAGTGCTGCCAGATATCATGTCCAAGGCACCCGCCGAAGGAGTCGAGGCTGTGGATGGAGTCAACAAGCTAACCAAGAGCAGCACCTTCGGCGAAGCGGAAGTGGAAGATATCACCGCGTGGTAAACTGACCCCCAGAGTCCTATTAGATTTGGCGCATTAGTTGCAGCCTTTTATACTGCCTGATGTACCGCGTGGGCATGCCCCGGCCTTTCTCTCGGCCAGAGAGGACGCGCCGGCGGCTTCGGACCCCGCCAGGCTCAGGCGCCTTGGGGAAGTAGCGGTGCGGTCTTGTGATTTATTATTCTTAGCCAGTCAGAGAGATGAGCATCCAACTGCCTCTCTCGTTTCCTCTACACAGGTAAGGCTGTAAAAGAAGCATCCAACTGCTCTCCATCAGATAAGCCCTCACCGAGTGTTCTTTGCACACGTCAAGACACCGAGGGTGGTGGGCGACCTTCATAAGAAAAGTGTTCGATCGTACATAGATTCGTTATGGTAAATAGAATTTTTGTCTTCATTTCTTCTATTGTCATAGCACTGGCCAACTGTTACATACAGTACCTAGCGGTGTGGCCTTGTAATTAAGGGCTCGTATTCAAACACTGATGACTTTGCAAACACAACTCTGAATTCGGACCACATGACACCGCCATCACACCATCATCCTCGCAAAGATCCGCCTCTTCTATCTTATTCGATTCCCAATCCGCCCAGCAACCCATTGTTGCACCAGGAACCAACACCAACACCAACCAAGCTGCAGCTCTGCTCCGCATATGATACCCGCCCTCGGGCCTCACCAGTTTGGGACGCACACCTGAGGTCATTGCGGAGAACCACCAGACAGAGAATATGACGTGGTCGGCGCAGCCAAAACCCCATGGATTTGAATATGCTTTCGGGAATTAATTACAAGGCAGAGGAGCTGGGCTGCTGCTTGCAGGAATTGAAGCGAAATGCGGAGTGCAGATTGGGGAAGGCTGCGTGCAAAACTCTGAAGACGGTTATTAGACTAGGTTTGAAGTTCGACGGGTAGAGGCGGGTTGGAGATGTGATGTATCATTTTGACCTGCGCTTTGACGCTGCTGCTGTGTGTGCGCGTGTATTATACAGTACGGGGCTGGCGTGCAGGATGGAAGGGTAATGTGCCATCATTGATCTCTTTTGGTAGCTTTACTATTATTCTTCCAGTGGGTTTGCTACGGTAAGGTAGTTCTATTCTGTATTGGAATTCATATGTGTTCGGACAGCACCGACCTTTGCATTCCCACTCATGAGATATCGAAATAACCTTGAGAGGGCATGCATGGCTTCAAGCCAGTCTTTCCTCAAAGACAAATTATAGCCTCTCGAGAATCTCAGGTGGAACGTCTCGTTCTCTGAACAACCTTTTGAATGTACCTGCCTCATCTGAGTGGTCGTAAACAGCCCACGTGGTATATAGATACAAGACCCATAGAGACCTAGAGTGAATACTTCTTGGTCTTGGTGGTTTATGCTGATATTTGCAGCAAGCTGTCCCAGCATGATACTCAAATTTTCGGCTAGAAAGTCATGGGAGGTCTGCCCTTCAAGCCACTTCGTAGATGTTAGGATTGTGGCCATCAAGAGGCGATAAATATATATATAAGAGGGAGAAAGCTGCCAGGGGATGAATACATACACCAACATAAGAGATTATCGGTACAGACCGTCCTTGTGACTTGACTACAACTGCACCCTCGGGTCTCGAAGCATATCGTTTACCGCCAATCACATACCTTTTCTTTAGACCGGATACAGGAAAGCTAGTTCAAGACATTTAGAATAAAGTCGAAGGATACAAAAACAGGGAAAAGAGCTTACTGGAGTTCAGGGCGATTCTCCGTAAGGTCTTCGAGATTATCATAAATAGTCTGCATCAAAATCTTCAACATCATACCCTGAGATTGGAGAAACTGCGGTGCTCTCCCAGGGGTTTCCCAGTTTTGCCTCGGTAGTGTGACTTTCTCGTCCGGTTTCAAAAACAATGGAATCTGCACTGGGTCGAGTTCGTCCAATTCAGCACGGTAACAGGAAAAGTGATAGAAAAAGTCCTTGAAGTCCGACTCTTCTTTCGGCCAAAAGCGAGTGCAGTTAGCTTTTGCGATATCATGATGCTTGAATACCCAAGGGATCAGCCTTTCTACATCGCTGCTATCTGTAATCGGTTGTTAGTACTTTATTAAAGCATCGGGTAGAGCTATATGCCTTGGCATTTGACGTCCGCGTCGCTAGGGATCAGTCCATCAATATCAGTAACTTCTGAGTATATTGTTGCAGACATATCGCTAAAGAATTGAAGAATGAATACCAGCCATAGCAGTCCATACTAGGAAATGTCAGTGAAGACAGGTAGAGGCATGATTTGCCTCACATATGTAAATGGCTGGATGATTACAAGTAGATAGTAGTCGAGTAATGTGATGTCACATGATCGCTCTGTTTTGTAGATTAGTCAAGCCAACCCGCGACCGTCAATCTATAGCAACAGCGAATCAATCATTGGAATGAAGTTTTATAGCATCATGTGCAAGGGCTTATTCAGTATCAGATACAGTAACTAATTTCTGACCCCGCCGCGTGAGCTATTGCAAGCATTGATATAAACGCTGCTGACATTGACAAGAGAACTAACTACGCTTGGCCTGATATGAAAATCAACCCGAGGCCTCTTGAAGGTGACACCGTCACGAACACGCCAGGAAATTGAACACATCAACGACCAAAATTTGCTGCCTTTGTAATGTCACCCTGAGTTACTTTGTGTCATACTTTGGGTCAACATTGTGGAGATGTCACAGCTTCTGGGACTTGAGTTACGGGCGAATGGGTCAATATGGAAATCCTTGAGTTCGGGATACTGATTTCGTCTCATGCCATGATATCGATCATATTCAGGGTCCGACAGCGTCTCCGCATGGCTGCCGTATGACGGTGGGGGTAACTTAAGTACAAAACAGGGCGTTTCGATCGACTCTTCCCAGCAGGAAAGGCAGCGGAGAACTGCCTATCAGAAGTTGCTGCAGTCCCGCTAGGATTGCCCTATGTGATGGATCTCATTCTTGCTACCCGATCGGTCATTCCACGAAAACCTCGTACAGCCCCTTGATTCATCCCTTCTTCCCACTCCAACGGCCCCTTGCGAAACCGTTGGACAAGGGAAGTCTTCCGTTTGGTGCAACAGCCATGCTGTCACACTCAGTTGATTCGTGTGAGACTCTATGACCTCGCATTGGGAGATGACTTGGTTCGTTCAGACCTCGAGTCTGATGGGGGTAACAACCCACAGCTTCTCTGGATGCTCTGATCAGCACTGGCTACCATTAGAAATGGAAAAGTGCGGACATCATCATCTCAGACGCATCGACCACTGCATGGCCTGCTTTGCTACCCCTCCTTGGCCGGTTTCACCCCTAGCGAATGGCAGCCGGACTGGCTGCATCATCGACAATAGTGCACTGCAAGATTAAGTCCGAGGCCACTACGAGGCAATCAGACGGCGAGGTTTTCAGGCCTGCAGTAGCCCCGTGATGCCGTGTGACAGAGGCTTGCTTTCTGCAGGGCCTCCTCTTTTCCTTCCTGCTTTCTCTTCCCTAGCTGACGGCCTCATCGCACCAACCACGCTCGTTCCTTTTACTCTCTGGTTTTCTCGTCCATGATATTTCATTCTTTGGTCCCTCGTTGAGACAGCCGGTGTCCCCAGCGCCGCGGTTGCATTATAATTACTCCTTGCGATTGAATATTGAAGGTGGTGTACCTAGCAGATGGACTGGTCCATTGCTCCTGAGTCACCTTGTTACCTCTCGTCTCTCATAATTTCCGGTGGCTTTTCTTCCCCTGACCTTCAAATCGGTCTTCACCCCTCCTTTCCTTGATCTCGACAGCATTCCTCGAATCGCTCCCCACATTCCATCCCAGAAGTTCCTGAAGAGCACCTGCCTCTTCGAGCTATTCTTTGGCTGAGGAATTGATCTGGGCTGATCTTGAGTATCGCCGATTTTGGTCCGTTTCCCTGGGACTGGTAGCCCAGCGACCGGATTTGTTTCCTTTGTCTCGCTGCTCTCCATATCACGAGTCGATTGTCGACGCACCATTGCGTTCTCCTACATTGGCTGGCGTCGCCACAGTATTCCCTGCAGTCTATCCAGCTGATCCCTTTCCGGACCGAACGCCTCTTGTTTCGTCATATTTGCAAACATCAGCCACGATGGAGTTCAGCACGAAGCGACGCACCTCCTTTTCTTTTCTGTTCGGGTCACAGGTGTGTATTACCCCAGATTGCCTCATGTTCGCGGCCTAATGTGCAAGCTAGAAACCAACTTTGATAACCCAGCAAAACCAACTTACGCTGAACCAGCTTGCCCACAACCAACCCACCCGTTACTTGGAAATTGTTGATAGTTCTGGCACCAATCAGCCATTATCGCCGTTAATCGACCGACCGAACATCCCTACCGACCTAGAAGCGCAGATTAGAAATGCCTGTTCATTGCTCGTACACAGGATCCAGAAAGGCCAGCCGTCGGGGCCCAGCAAGCGCTCTCGCGCGGTCACAACCAATACGACGATGCACGAACCGTCCACGGCGCCTCAAATTGACTCCATGTATGTGTCTCCCAAAGTGGGAGCCGATGTGGCAGCCCTGAAGGACAAGTACGATTCCGGGGTCGCCTTGACCCAGCAGTCCAGTATGCAGGCTATGAGGGTTCTCCGTTCTCAGACCAGTCAACACCTCAAGTGCGATAGTCTCGAATCGGGACGAGCGACATCTTCCCACTCAGCACTCGCTAGCGATGGAACGCAGTCGTCGAGTGCCCCGCCTAGCCGAGCAGGCTATGGCAGCCAAGCAATGGGCTCGGGAAAGGAGGGTAGGGATAGGAGTCAGAGTGTCAAGGCCTTCCTCGACGGCTCTGAGTCCGGACCTCATCCGAATGAGGATGGCAATCATGTGGACGCTGTTAGCGAAGATGACGTTGAAGTCTTTCTGGACCCCGAGACTACACTCATGTCCACCGGGGTTCCTAGCTTCCATTCACCCCATTCAGTTCCCAGCAATATTACACCAGGTCTCGGAAACCCTGTGGAGCCATCATCGGACAGCCACGGTGGAGTCGCTGATTCGGAAGCCCCGACCGTCCATCCTCCAGAGTACACCGATCCGCTGGACCTGGGCTCTTCCACCGTTGAAGCAAGCAAGCAACACCCCGGGATCATCATCGACAGCAGCGGCCTAGCGCACGTCCTCAGCGCTGCAGAAGAAACCGAACGCGACATGAACATCCAGCAGGCGGTGATGGCCAAGATGAGAACGGGCACCATTGCTAATGCCAGCACGCCGCACCTCCCAGTCTACACCGAGTCGACGGACAATGTTTCCAATCTTCGCCCCGGGTCTAACGCCTCGAGACTGAAAACCTCCTGGTCAACAATGAGCAAGGCAACAAGCCGGAAGCTCAGATCTCGAGGAACTGAGGACGTGCCCACCAATGAGAAAACAGTCTTCCGCAGGTTGAAGAACCTTTTCTCGAAGCGCAAACCCGTGAACGTTGTCCCGCCGGTAGGCACCTATTGATGATATAGATTGGACAGATACTTCTTGGCCCTGGATGGCTTTATTTACACATAATTGTTACGACTTTCGGTGACAATACGACATTATTCCTTTTACAATTACTATCTTGTTTCAAGATTTAGAGAGAGACCCGGTGTTGCTGTGTAGCATCGCTCACCCTCACATTCCTGACATATATCTACAAATTTCTCATACTTATCCATATTAGACCTGTCTGTTCTTCCAGTCAGCGCCTTGGCATTTGGTTTCGGTGACATGTATCTAGACCATGCAATTAATTAGCCTTATGCATAATAGCCATACATCACCTGTCAATCAATTATATGCAGCCTTATTCCTATAGGAATACTGTTACTAATGAATTGGATGCTCCAAACGAGCTAGGAAATTGACATATGATGTATCTCTTTTCCAAAAGTACAAAGTAATTATATATGATCCACCCGAGCCGGAAGATATATAGATATAATTGTAAATAATTGATGATATTCGAAAAACATACATGAGACTCAACGTCTTCCCTACTGTAAGTCGATACTCCATAACTAAACGAGTATTCATTTCTCATAAATGCATAACATGACTAGTAATACACCCATTCCACAGCGCTGAGACCCTATGCACAGTGCTTTAACGTCAATACATATTAGGTAAGGAGGCCTAACCATCTACTTCAGTACTATACTACATGATATTCCAGCAGGTATCTATATCACATCTTTATGATCATATCAACATGGAAATCGCTCATACATCCCCGCCCACAATAGAATATACAGTAAACATCTCGCCAAACGAGCAAACCACGAGTGTCAGCTTGTGAGCTTGTGGGATTGTAGTGTATTTTTCTCAAGATCGACTTCACGGTTCAGGAAAGCAATATCATATATTTATTACATATGTTTGAGATTCATAGTCTTCTTTCCTCTGTCCGTAGTCATTGGCCAGGACCTGGCCTTCATGACGCTCCTTTCGGCATGGTTGTTACTGCAATTGCTTGCCATGGCTTTAACACTAGCGGGTCCAACAAGGATCATAATTCTTCAATTGATTCATAGTGAGTTCCATGCGGCTCTCAAGATCTAGGCAAAAGGGCCACGGGCAGCCTTTTCCCAGGCTATCTGACTTGACGGATCATGTATGTTGCCTCGGGACCAAGGAGGGACTCTGGTCTCTATAGTTTCGTAACTATTATGGGGATTAAGTTGATGTTCGCAAAAGTAGTAAAGCACTACAAGCTTAAAGACCACCGAAAGCAGAGCGATTAGAAGGAAGTGTCACATCCAGAGGTTAGAATCTAGAGAATAGAATCTTGGGATCGAGGTTGGCGGTTGCGCCTTCAAATCCATGCTGATGCGTAGCATATAATTCCGTCTTATTGACATCCACCTGGCCTTAACTAGTGGCCTTGATGTGCAGGTGTTCTCTGCGCTCCAAAGAGGATGCGTGTACATACAAAACGTCAATTTATCACAAAACACAATGTTGACCCTGCCTTCCCGGGTCTTCCAACATCATTGTCACGTTCTTCTCCTCTTCCACTCTTCTCCTCCCTCTCTCCATCTCACATGCCCTTTCG